TACATTTTTACAGGCACTAAAACGTACAATACTGACGTATTTTCAGCATTTAAAGGTACAAAACTGATGTATTGCCGACACCTAAAAATGAATCCTTATGAATATTGAAATCGCGGCATTAATTGTATTAGTTTTTAGTTGTCATATGAATTACCTTGTTTTCAATTGCATTATTGAAATTGTTTACTCATTTACTTATGAAATTATAACATTTTGTTTTGTTGTGTGATTTCTGCTGCCAGCTTGTTTCCAAGAATATGCCTACATAATGTTAAACACGACTTCACTTTAAACCTTAAAATAAATAGCATTTCTGCAATGTTTAACCTTTACTTCTCTTGTAATGTTTACTTTGATTGCCATAGGCCACAAAAGGTGTTTTCTCCGACATGCTGTGACTGACAATAGAACTATAAAATACACCAAAAACGCAACAATTACGAAATGAAACAATTGTATTCGTGCGCTGTAATCCCAATCCCTTCTGAATCCATACGACTGCGAAGAACAGACCCAAATCCAAGCCTTTATTCGGCGATCTTCTCCTCCATCCCGAGCAGGTACCGTGAGCAGCAAAGTCCGCGCTGACTGATGCGCTCTTTACAAATTCAAATGTTGCCGCTTCAAACGACAGGTTTTACGGCAGGATAATCGAACGCTCATTTGCTCTCGCCTGCATTCGTCACAGATTGCGACATGCCGTGTTTCTATGTGGAAATATTTGCATAATGCCGCCCAAATGTGCACGCAAAGAAAGAAGGCGTGGTTTCAGTAACCGCAGTTAGTGTTGAAGCAGCCATGTCAGGGAGACGCTGTGTGTTTCTAGGCGAAAGCAAAAGCACTTTATTTGGCCTTCCGAAAAGTAGATGCATTTAGGAATCTTTAAGATTACTTACAACAGAACAGCAACGCATTTTATGGACGACCTTTTCGTGAACCTAGGAGAGGAGGTAATTCTGACTTTGCTATGACAATCTGGCGCTTCTGAATCAGCGACTGTTTTGTTATTAGTTTAAGTATTTGCAATTGTTATTGCGAATCTGATAGCCTACTACTACTACTACTACTACTAATAACAACAGAACACATTACATTATTGTTGTTATTAAATGAAATATCTGGACATTTAACACTTATTTGATAACATTACAGATTGATCTGAATAAACCAACGTGATCTCATGATAATTCGTATGTATTATGTAAAATGTGGTTCTATAAAACGTACATTTACTTACATTTTTACAGGCACTAAAACGTACAATACTGACGTATTTTCAGCATTTAAAGGTACAAAACTGATGTATTGCCGACACCTAAAAATGAATCCTTATGAATATTGAAATCGCGGCATTAATTGTATTAGTTTTTAGTTGTCATATGAATTACCTTGTTTTCAATTGCATTATTGAAATTGTTTACTCATTTACTTATGAAATTATAACATTTTGTTTTGTTGTGTGATTTCTGCTGCCAGCTTGTTTCCAAGAATATGCCTACATAATGTTAAACACGACTTCACTTTAAACCTTAAAATAAATAGCATTTCTGCAATGTTTAACCTTTACTTCTCTTGTAATGTTTACTTTGATTGCCATAGGCCACAAAAGGTGTTTTCTCCGACATGCTGTGACTGACAATAGAACTATAAAATACACCAAAAACGCAACAATTACGAAATGAAACAATTGTATTCGTGCGCTGTAATCCCAATCCCTTCTGAATCCATACGACTGCGAAGAACAGACCCAAATCCAAGCCTTTATTCGGCGATCTTCTCCTCCATCCCGAGCAGGTACCGTGAGCAGCAAAGTCCGCGCTGACTGATGCGCTCTTTACAAATTCAAATGTTGCCGCTTCAAACGACAGGTTTTACGGCAGGATAATCGAACGCTCGTTTGCTCTCGCCTGCATTCGTCACAGATTGCGACATGCCGTGTTTCTGGTGAGGTGTGTTTGAATGATGTGCGCGCGCCTTCACGAGTTCACGGAGTGGATCGGGAAAATTATCTGGATAATATTTTCAGCGATTAACAACATAAATTCTGCTCTGGCTCACACAAACCTACTGTATTCCGTCAGAGAGGACCGAGGCTGCAACGCATCGTCATTTGGATTACTTTTAGTACTGCTTTTGACATTTTTGCAATAAATATGTGTTACGTATTAATACCTACGCATAAACATGAGACCAGGCTGAATAAACAGGGTAGGTGCAACTTTGGTGTATAAGACAGCAGGCTAACCGGGTAGCTGTATTTTGTGCGAACGATATAAATCATAATGTGATTTTGTAGAAATTGTACAGGTGATAAAAAAAGAGTACCCATGAAAATGTCTTTACATCAAGGACCCGATCATAGAAACAATGCACAGTACAAGCGCAGCGTTGAGCTTCTTGTGTCTGTTCAGTAAAGAGCGTTTTGATTGGTGGATTAAAAGCTCACCGCTATTGGCTAAACGGAACATCCTCCAAAAAAAGATATTTATGAATCTTAACCTGCCAGGAAGGTCTCAAAAATACCACACACAAATTCAAAGCAGTCCACGCATGTGTGATGATTTGCAAATGCAGATTCAACGATCCATAAATATATGCAACATCATTCATAAATGTGTGATGGAAATTAATTCAAGAACTTGATATCTTGATATATCATTATCTTATTTAGGTAAGATGCTTTTGTGTGAGCATTTGGGGAAATATTTATGCTTTTACTTCTGAATTTACGAATTGGATTTTGTAAATGTAAATTGTGCTGTGAATTTATGAATTTTGTTTTATAAATTTATTATTTCTGAGGCCGATCTGGCTCCATACTTGTGTACTGCAAACACATATCAGCTTCATCACTGTGTCTGTCACGCAACTCTGTTCCCCTTTCAGGCTCTGTCTTTACATTTATTTTGAAAGATGAAGCTGGCGATTATGGTAAGGGGCGTTACATTTCCGATGCGTGCTTGCGGTGTTCGGCCAATCACAATGCACTGGGTCAGCTGGCCAATCAGAGCAGACTGCGCTTGTCAAAGGAGGGGGCTTTGTTGAAAACAATGTGTTTGAGAGAGGTGGGGCATAGAGGACCTACAATAATGTACAGTATTTGAAAAATAATGTTTTTTGAACATTAAAGCATGTCAATGTCATGAATTCAGTCCATGGACTTCCGTTTATTCACCACCAGAGGTCACCCTTTCCATTTCCTTGACTCTCGCACAACACAAACTGTTGCATAGCGCCCCGGACTACATATCCCATCATTCCTTGCACGATTTGCACACAGCACTGATTGCACACAGCTGTTTCTAATCACCTCACTCACTATATAACACCCACTCTAACCACCTTTCTCTGCTGAGTATTGTTTAGCCTGTACCACTTTCCGAGTCTCTGTGTTTTCCTTGTTTTGCCTTGCCTGTTTCTGCGGTATCTGATCTTTGCCTGTTTTCCTGGATTTCTCCCTCTCGTCTTGCCCCTGTGATTCTGTCTGCCGATCGGTGACCTACGCTAGCCCTGGGACTATTCTTGTGTTTTGCCCGCCATATACCTGTTTGCCAGTGTTCGACCCTGCCTGTTTACCACGTCTCTTTAATAAAGCCTACAGATGGATCCACACGTCTCCCGTCTCGTCAGCCACGTTATAGTCAACATATTCTGTTACACCAAATACACAAAATAATGATCTTTAAAAAAGCATCATATGACCCCTTTTTAAGAAACTTTAATTAATGCTGTCACCTAACAAATCTGTTCAAATATAAAATTAAATGAATTGCTAATTACTACATTGAAATAAAAATGTAAAGCCTGTACAAATTTTAGAAATCGTGAATATAAATAATTGGGAATCATGTAAAAAATGTTAATAAAATAAAAACAGTGCACATTTCATTTATCTATTATAACATTTATGTAGTTTTGTTCGCTTGTCTGTTTCCTTATAAAACTCCAAAAATGTGTCAAGTTTTTCGTCAGGTGTCTTTTTTAGTTATATGATGCCATTACGTTGCTGTCTTGCCGCCAGCCAATCGCTATCGAGTATCAATACATAGCCCCTTTTAAACCAACCCATGAACGCGCAATTATCTCAGATAACTCAATCCAGCCAGACTAATCATCAACAACAGGTGTGTTTGAAGAACCGAATTAGCCAGATCCTGATTAGCGCGATGATATCATCTTGGATGTGACATTTCATCTCGGATGTAATAAGCGACGTACGAAGAACGGGCCCCTGATCCTCCCTATACGCAAAATACGCAAGCTGGATAGGGCCCCTGAAACACCAGGGGGCCGGCCCCCTTGCTCTCAAAGGGGATTTAATTTTAGTTTCTTTTTTTAATTTGGCCAGTGGTTATAAAAACATGAATGATCATTTCTTTTAATGCAGTACGCTGTCACACTAGCTGCAGGGCCCGGGGAGCAGTTGGGGGTGGAAGAGAGCACTGTACATTCACTCCCCCACCTACAATCCCTGCCAGTATCAATACATAGCCCCTTTTAAACCAACCCATGAACGCGCAATTATCTCAGATAACTCAATCCAGCCAGACTAATCATCAACAACAGGTGTGTTTGAAGAACCGAATTAGCCAGATCCTGATTAGCGCGATGATATCATCTTGGGTGTAATAAGCGACGTACGAAGAACGGGCCCCTGATCCTCCCTATACGCAAAATATGCAAGCTGGATAGGGCCCCTGAAACACCAGGGGGCCGGCCCCCTTGCTCTCAAAGGGGATTTAATTTTAGTTTCTTTTTTTAATTTGGCCAGTGGTTATAAAAACATGAATGATCATTTCTTTTAATGCAGTACGCTGTCACACTAGCTGCAGGGCCCGGGGAGCAGTTGGGGGTGGAAGAGAGCACTGTACATTCACTCCCCCACCTACAATCCCTGCCGCTACTGAGACTCGAACCCACAACCTTTGAGTTACAAGAGTTACAAGTTCGACTCGCTAACCATTAGGCCACGACTGCCCCCTGGTATTCAGGTATCTTACCGTCATCAACAGACACTTCTGCTCTTTCAGAGCACCAAGGCATCCTAGGAACCCTGTCACCATGGTGACGCCCCCAGCAACAAGCAGTAGGTTGGCCGCGGAGAGTGAAGGGAAGGACAGTGGTAGAGATGAAAACTCTGACTGTGTAAAGGCAAGCCACACCCCAACACCAAATAAACCACATCCTCCCAACTGCAAAAACAAGCACAGGTAAAGAAATATAACAGTACATTATGTTCAGATAAGTCACTTTTCATCAGTGTAAAGCAATTTAGGTCATTCTGAGGGACAAGTGTAATAGGCCTCCATGGCCTTCATAAACTTTAATTGAGGCTACTTCATTGCATGTCCTTCTACATATTTTATACATGTTAAACAGTTAAGGCTGGAGTACACTACATGACTTCTGAACAGATTTTGAAAACACTATGCATATAGGCTACACTTGCTAAAAACAACTGGACCTGTGCATTACACACTAAAGAAGTGAGCATCACACTTTAAAAGACTTTCAAGTCATTGAATCTGAACACAATAAACTTAAGCAGAAACAAGTGCCTCGTTGCCAGGAGACGCATGACAAATGGAACAATATTGGCTCAAAATATCAACCTGGAAAGAATTATAGTCTTAAGCTAGACACTACGCGATTTCTGTGAAAACTGTCAACTCCAACTGCCCAAAATCTACAGACTGGCTATGACTTTTGGCATATGAAAAAATCAGGGGTGAAGTCTTAAAGTTGTTGTGTATAGTTCGAGCCTTTAATCCTCGATTACGTTTGGCTGAGCAGTGGTCTCGGTATACATAGGTGGCGAAAAGTGACATGTTTTTTATTTTTTGTTTGTTTGTTTGTTTTTGAGTGAGTCAATGAACTGATTCGCCGAGTGAATGATTCAATAACTCAGTAATTCAATCCACAACACTCGTTCAGGAACGCCAGTGATGTGTGTTGTTCAGAGACGCTAACAGTTGATTTTGTTTGGACTTTGCTGGGAATTGTAGATGTTAGAGCAACAAAGTATTTGTCTACGTTACTCAGTATTAACTTATTGTTTACTGAACTGAGGCTGTATTACAGAAACTTCCCATCTTAAGTCTTGATTTGGAAAAGTTCTGTTTCCTAAGTGAAATTACCATGGTTACCAAACAGAATAGGAATTTGAGTTAGGATATTTCTGTAATTGAGCCCCTGTTGTATAAAAGCAATAATACACTTGTGAATCTTATGTATTAGAATAGCCTCATATCATTAAGAATGACGGTTTGAGTTCAAGAAACGTATGGTTCCACAATCTGCCAAACTCATATTCGACAGAAGAGTAAAGCAGAACTAACCCAGAAGATGAGGTTGAAGATAAACATGAGGTACTTCACACAGCAGAGACAACCTCGTGACACAGACATTCTGCATGAAAGAAGAAAGACAGAAATAGAGTCACCAAATGAGGATAAACGAATTGTGTGCTTTAAACGTGTGAAAACTTTCACACTCTCCTGAACTGTAGCATGCAGAGGAAGTGCTGTTTCCAGACAGGAAGAAACCACCCTTGTGTTGTACTGCTGATAGCATTAACTGTAAAGCTATTATCCATGTCTGAAACATGTACTCATGGGGCCTCTCTTATACGATAAACTCAACGAATTTTGTGGACTTTTAATATGTCCCACTTACGTTAATTTTCCATGAGCAAAATGCAACATAGTCATGTTGGTGGTTATTTTGCCCTTTTTGTTCCACAAAATGCAGTCCACATGAAACCACAGAGTATATTATGGGCCAGAATGTAAACATATAAGCCCCCTCAAAGTTAGGCAGCACATGGATGTGTGATTTGATTTCAGTGGTATGTCAGTAATGGTTTTGAAAATTGGCACCATATATGAATTAAAATGAGTTCTTTAAATATGAGTACACATAGAAACCTAATCCTACATTTAGTTTTCTTGTGATTATAAATGTTTAGTAAAGAGAGAAATTAGCTTGAAGCATAACACACCATTTCTCTCTCTTTTTTTTAATTAAATTATTTTTTAATAATATCTGGTTTCCATAAAAACATAATATTGAATACAATTTGTCATTGATTTCTCTGGTCTGCTTCAGCACTGATCAAGTGGTTCATAAACAGTACACAAATCTCTATATTTAATAATACAAAATTAACATTAAGCATGAAGCAAATATAGTCACTTTACCTTGATTTAAATGGAGACAGAAAAATTGACTGACAGGCAATTGAAGGGTTTCGAGGAACAGAGTTGAGTTTTCACTTTGTTCTTACTCCAAAGCTTCCTGTATTGTCTTTTTGCTTCGTAGTGATGAAGTTCATGAGATCTTGCTTTAATTATTCATAGATCAATATTATCCACATCACAGATGTGATTCCTCCAGTTCTTCTGGTTGTTAATGGCTCTTCTTAAGGTACAAAAAAACATAAAGGCTTCTGTGAAGTGATGAGCTTGAAATATTGGTCTTGCAGTTTTGTCGGATACAGAATTCTTCACAAGCTTTTCTTTCTTTGTTGTTTAATTCCTTCAGACTCCTATCATTTCTCTCTTCTTGAAATCCCAATATATATATATTTTTTTCTTCTTCTTTTTTTAGGTAACAAACAACATCAAAGTATTTGTTTGCTTGTTAGTGTGTTCCCTCAACCCTAATTACTAATTCCAGGTTCTCCTTGGCTTTCTATCTTTTCTATCAACTATTTTCCTCCCTCTCTTGTTCCAAATAACTTCCAGATGTAGTTATCAGCCCTCCCCTCTCACTCTTTCCCTCTCTCCTCCTCCTACTGGTCTCCAGAGAATCCATTCTTTTCCAAGACCCTCCTCTCCTGAATCTTTCTCCCTCCCTCTTTCTCTTGGTTTTGTCCAAACAATCCTAATGGATGTGGCCAGCAGACGCACATTTGAGGCTTTGCAGTTCACTGTGTGTGTCTTTCTGTTTACACTGTAGATGTTTAATCTATTAAACACACTACTAACCCTTTGTCGAACCAACATAAACACTTTTTTGTTATTAACATTTGTAAGTGAATTTATTAACGTGATACAAGGGGAGTAGGGGACTTATACTCACATATAATTCACACTTACATACTTAACTACACACATATACAGTATATACATGTCCCAAAGCATAATTGGATTTTCACACAAATCCTGAAAGTAGACAAAGAGAATCCAATCAAACAAAGACAAAAATATATAGTTTATTTATTTATTGAGAAAAATGATCTGGTGTTAAATATTTGTGAGTGGCAAAAGTATGTGAATCTTTGCTTTCAGTATCTGGTGTGAGCCCCTTTTGCAGCAATAACTGAAACTAAATGTTTCTTGTAACTGCTGATCAATTCTGCACAACCGCTTGCAGGAATTTTAGCCCATTCTTCAGTACAGAAACAGCTCCAGCTCTGTGATATTGGTGGTGGGTTTCCTCCAATGAACTGCTTGCTTCAGGTCCTTCCACAACATTTCAATTGGATTAAGGTCCAGACTTTGACTCGGCCATTTCAAACCATTAACTTGGTTCTTCTTTAACCATTCATTGGTAGAACGACTTGTGTGCTTGGGGTTGTTGTATTGCTGCATGACCCACTTTCTCTTGAGATTCAGTTCATGGACAGATGTCCTGACATTTTCCTAAAGAATTTGCTGGTATAATTCAGAATTCATGAATGGCAAGCCGTCCTGGACCAGATGCAGCAAAACAGGCCCAAACCATGATACTATCACCACCATGTTTCACAGACGGGATAAGGTTCTTATGCTGGAATGCAGTGTTTTCTTTCTCCAAACCTAAAGCTGCTCATTTAAACCAAAATGTTCTATTTTGGTCTCATCCATCCACAAAACATTTCTCCAGTAGTCCTATGGCTTGTCCACATGATCTTTAGCAAACTGCAGATGGGCAGCAATGTTCTTTTTGGAGAGCAGTGGCTTTCTTCTTGCGACTCTGCTATGGACACCATGGTTGTTCAGTGTTCTCCTGATGATGAACTCATAAACATTAACATTAGCCAATGTGAGAAAGGTCTTTAGTTGCTTAGAAGTTAGCATGCAGTCCTTTAAAATCCTAGTGGACTTTTACACGCCTTGCTTTTAGAGTGTTCTTTGTGGGTGGAACACTCCTGGGGAGGGTAACAGTGGTCTTGAATTTGTACACAATCTGTCTGACTGTGGATTGGTGGAGTCCAAACTCTTTAGAGATGGCTTTGAAACCTTTTCTATCCTGATGAGCAACAGCAACTCTTTTTCTGAGATCCTCAAGAGATCTAATTTGTTTGTGCCATGATACACTTCCACAAACATGACCAAACTTTGATAGATCCCAGTTCTTTAAATAAAACAGGGTGTACACTGACACCTGATAGTCATCTCACTGATTAAAAACACCTCTGAACAGAAGGACTCTAATTTCACCTTAAAATTAACAGCTAATCCTAGAGATTCACATACTTTTGCTGCTCACATATGTAATATTGGATTATTTTCCTGAATAAATAAATGACAAAGTATATATTTTCATCTCATTTGTTTGATTGGGTTCTCTTTGTCAACTTTCAGGACTTGCATGAAAATCTGATTATTTTTGGGGTTATTTTTATGCAGAAATGTAGACAATTCTAAAGGGTTCACAAACTTTCATGCAGCACTGAGTATATATATATGAACTTGCTGAATGCTGATTTTTTTTCATTAAAAATTTTTTATTTCGTGTAAATGTCAATCAATATCAATCACAGTCAAGTTACCCCCCCCCTCCCCCACCCCTTTACAGTTGAGTGAAATTTGCAGTAAGAATATTTGCAAGTTGGAAATCTCATCATGAGCTCTATCTGGTGGTCATTTATAATATATTTATTCAGTGGAATATGCTTTATTTTGATCATTTCAAGAAGGTGAAATGTAACCAATTGCGTGAGATGGAAATTAATGTTTTTGCTGATTTTAAACAATAGCTAACAATGTCGCCATGTTTGGAATCTCCCACTATGTGCCACCATGTCAGAAATCCCCAAGGAAGTATAAAAATATATTGTTGGATGTTTAAGAAAATCCATTGAGTCTGATATCTTTTAAATTATTTTTCTTTAAACAAAAATAACCCACCTTTGCACCCTTCCTGTAGCCATCAGTGACATTTATACACACCTCTACTTTCTGTTTGGCACACCCTTCCTTTCTAAGATTAGAAGGGCTGCTGTCTTCTGATTTTCTTGTAATTTAGTGAGATACAGGTGTGGAGCTATTGCTGGCTTTGTCCAGTGCAATATTTTGTTTTCAATCATCCTTGGGTCTTTTGATGTGTTAGGGTCAAAGTACATGACCTTTAAAAGTGCCACAGCTTTCTGGTGCTGATTTGTGCCTTAGTAATTTCTAGCTAAGATGTGACAGAAAGCTCTGCAGAATTACACAGAATTGTAACGCTTATCATTCACAAAGTTCTACACATCCTCATGCACGTATGTTTATTTGATTTTTTTTGTTGTTGATAATTTGATAATGTTATATGATATATTTTATAATGTTATACTACTAAGAATGTAGAAATTTAAGAAATTTTCCACAGAATTCCACAGTTTTTCCTGCATGATCAGCAAAGATAATATTTTTTAAAAGACTATGGAAACTGTTTGTATTTAAAAATATAAACATTTTATTTCATATTTTGCCATCATTCATTAATATGCTATGCCATAAATCTCTATACTTAGAGGGGGAAAAAAGCTTCATTCTCAGAATGTGAGTCTTAAAATATTAAAGGTTAACTGGTTTTTTAAACATCATCATTGTATGCCATAATCAGTAAATTTTAGTGCACTCGCTAACCTAAAAAAACAAACAAAAACAGTCTGTATCTTTATCCACATCTAAAGATACAGACTGTTTTTGTTGCTTTGTTTGTTTGTTTGTTTAATCTACATAGCAAACATTTGAAATGGATAAATGATTATGTTTAATTAATTCAGCCATTATAAAGTATGGTCACACTGTTTAACAAATTTTTGCTGATGAAATCCAGCAATTTCAATAGCATTCCATGCAATCTGCAAATTTGCATGGGTGAAAGAGTTACCCACAAAAATTTTGCAGTGGGTTCAATTAATCACAATGGTGTAATGTAACACCACAGTAAAGTAATTTTACTTCGTTAGAGTACTTAAGTATTTTTTAGAAGAATCTGTACTTTACTTGAGTTTTAATATTTCTGTCAACTTTCACTTTTACTCCACTATATATTTCCTAATTAAAATGTATATATTTTTTCTCCGATACATTTCCCCGAAGCATTCGTTACTACAAAATAAAGTAAATCAAATTAAAAAAATAAAAAGCAGGTTTGATGAATCAGTGGTCTGGCGCTCACATGTTAAGACTCCTAAAATCATCTCTGCTCATGTGCAAACAAGTCCTCGCACAACCGCAGTTGATTTTATTTTCCACTCAAGTCGAGGCTGGGGAGTGTGATTTACAGTAGGCTATATCATCTAATAACGATGTGCGATCTGACATCATTGAGAATATCACAAAAACACACAGAGAGTGTGCCCATACACCACGTGATTTAGTCTATTAAAATGCATTCAAATGTTCAAGATGTTCTGTCTTTTATATTTATATCATTTAATATAGTTAATCTATATCACACTAAGAGTGCTGTTTTTTTTCTCCAGATATCAGCATGATAACAAATGGAATACTGATTTTATGCAAGTTTAATAAAGTTAGTATTAAGTTACTTACATTTTAGGCACAATATTGCCTGTTTTTGCTGTATTACGCCAATGAAAATAGTTCCAAACTGCACTGTTTTGTGACTTGCTGACTTTAATTTCACATTTCAAGTAGGCTATATTTTCATGTTTAAAAACTTTTCAAATATCAACATTCAATGTTTTATGTTTAAAACAAAACATTACTTATGCATTTGTAACTGCTATTAAATGCATCCCCTCTGAGCTGCATTAAACTGTCTGTGTACATGAATCTAAATTCCATTTCAGATGCAGACTCCATTTTTGCGAGAAATGTTTTCTTATGTTGGAATGAAAGAGACCAAGTACTCTTAAGTGGCTCTTATGTTAACCCAAAGATACAAAATGGAAGAAAGAGTTAAACCTCTAATCTTGCTGCTCAGTCTGTGTATAGAACAATTTTCTAATTTGAATTTACTTGTACTTTTACTTTAAATACTTAAGTAAGTTTAATATTAAAGAAATACTTTTCATACTTAAGTAGGCTACAATAAATATCCTATACTTTAAAATTTTTACTCAAGCAATATTCTAAACGGTGACTTCAACTTCTACCAAAGTCATTTTCTGGTAAGAGATCTGTACTTTTACTCAAGTGTGGCTTTCAAGTTCTTTATCCACCACTGGTTGGTCATGTGATTTTGCTGTTTATAGAACTCTCCTTGGTTCGAAGGTTAACGTCTATGACCTGTGCTTCACACAACTACACTAGTACACTATTGACAGTAGACAACGGATATTTTGCTGGCAAAATTTTGCAGAAATTTGGCTAATATTACCACACTTTTAAGTATAAAACAACTGAGGAAAATGAGTAGGAATTTTAGAGCATCATTATACGTTGCACCATTGCTGATAATGAATTGCAATCATCAGATAATATATAAAAACTATATTACTTAGTCCTTGTAAAACACAAATTACGTAATACAAGATTATGTAATCAAGAAGTCATTCCTATTAATCCCTTAATGTCAACAGAAGACTTTTAAACAGCTGTGGTGAGACAGAACGTTTCTCCTCCATTCGTCCCCTTCTCTTCACTTTTTTCATCTCCTTTCTGTTTCTCGTTCTCTGCCAGTGTTTTTCCTGTCTTGTCTTCAGTCACATCCTCATCTATGTAAATCAAAGGCTCCTGCTCCTCCCATTTCTTAACCTCCTTGGTACCGTCCCCACCCACTCCACCATTAGACATGTCTCCTGCATCCAGAGCGGCGAATGTGCTGAGCATCATGTCATCTCCATCCGGTTTCCCATTATTAGGCAGAAGACCATCCTGTACTTCAGCATCACATTCAGCTCCCGCCTCCAGATTGACAGGCCCCGCCCATGCATCATCCTCCCCCCCTTTTTTCTTCTTGGACCGTTTACTTTGTCCGTTTACATACATGGGGCCGAAATTCCTTGAGCCGTTTTTCTTTCGCCACTGGACGAACAGAATCATGCCCACACATAGCGCAAAAATAATGGCCACACACACTATCATTATTAATAACCAGCTGGTTTGTATGGGCAGACTGCTTTCCTCGATAATTACGCTGGTGGTGGTGAGGGTGAAATGGGTGGAGACTGATTCTTCATCAAACTTCGAGTACGGGTGCACGGGTGCAGCAGTATTTTGAGGGAGCTGAGAAGTTGATGTTAGACTTGTAGTGGAGGTTTCAGTGCTGGTGTCCACAGGGTTGGAGATGATGGACGGAGACTCAGACCAGTCTGCTGGGGATTCAGTCAGGAAGGATGTGGGATCGAGGGCTTCTGTTGAATCAGTGGTCATGGCCACAGCTGCTGTGTGGCCAACAGTTGTTTCATATTGACTTGTGCTTGGGGCGTCTGAAGTTATTTGTTCAGTCACTATTGTTTCCACATTAACAGGCACAGTAGGGGTAGTCACTGTGGTCTGCTCTGTTTGTACTGTTGTTGTTTCAGGAACAGATTCTGGTGATGTTTGTTCGATCTCAGTACTGAGTGGTGGAGTACTCTCAAATGCTGGTTCCTCAAGCATGGTGCTGACTTGATTAACAAGTGTGGTTTCTGGATTATGCAGATCCGTTCCTGCCTGTAGTAGAGTAATTGTATTTTCAGGTGTGGTGATGGTGATTTCAGAACTTAACTTTGACTCCACAGTGTCATTGTTTGGTAATGTGATGGCGATGTTTGCATCTGTCTCTATTGTTGTCTCTTGTGCATCAGTGGACTTGAAACAGGGTCCGAGAGCAAGACACAGAAGCAAATTGCTAAAAATAAGCCTCATGGTGAGCATACTGGCTGGAAAAGTCACTCAATCTAGAAGTTTCCTATGGCAATTTCAGTGTTTGTGCAACAAAATTGCTCAGGTGAGCTGATATTGTCTTTGGAGATCCACTTTTGAGCCTCGAGAACGTGATCAAAAATGAAGGAAACCTTCAAACTCTGAGCAGCTGGTAGAAGAAATTAATCTTTTTTACTTGTTCTTTGCGTGGTTGTGTTCTACAGAGGTTATCTTGCGTGAATCTGGGCCGGAAAGTTTTACACAGGCCTGTTCCTTCCTCTTTCTCCTTCTCTGTCTCTCTCAGTGTAGCATGGGCAATTTCAGCTTTGAAATAAACACTTGACAGTAAAAAAAGACACCGGAAGAAAAAGACAGTTAGTCAAAAAACATTATCACTCTTATTTGTCTCAAGAATATATATTTTATATTAATTGTATTTGTTTTTTGGTAAGATTTTGTAATGTTTTTAAAGAAGTCTCTTATGCTCTCCAAGGGTTAATTTATTTGATTAAAAATAGAGTAAAACAGTAATGTCATGAAATATTATTGCAATAAAAAAACTGTTTTCTATTTAAATATATTTTAAAATATAAGTTATTCCTGTGGTGGTAAAGCTGAATCAGCAGCCATATTTTTTGCGGAAAATATTCTGAAATATTCTGAATGAGAACATAGATATAATTTATCATTCTAAGTTATATTTATTTATTTTTGCTAGAAGGTAGAATTAAATTCTAATGCTTTAATCTAAATCGACTTTCTTGGGAATCTTGGGAACCCCATGAAATTGGGGTTGTTTGCGCTATGCTTTACCTACCAGATGAGCTACACTTTATTTGGCGGGCAGAACAGAGGTACATCCTCGGGTTATTTTAGTGCACATCTACCACAGGTACTAGAATGCGATTTGAGTGCCAGCATGATGTTTATGTATCTCTAAGCTGCATGTAACGTTTTTTTTCTTTCTTTTTGTCTACCTGTCCTCCAGCATCGTACAACGTCACAGCCACAAACCGTTTGATCCCTTTATGAATAAGTATGATTGCTACTTACCTTCATGCCTCTGAGAAAAGTCACAGCAAACTCCGACCACCAAGACAAAACTGCACATGTGAAAGTCTACACACTCACACATGCAGAGCACACCTATATCCTGTTCATTTCTCTTCCTCTCTTACTCCTACATGCTCTCTTTCATTTCTCCTCCCTCTGAAGATGTCATATCACTGCTTGCATCTGGCCGAGTGAGGCTGCAACCGAAAGATTTAAAAAAAAACATGCAGAAAGTGCTTGGTTATAGTATGAATTATTATCTGAGGCTGACGTAGAAAAAGAGAAGCCAGGCTCTAATGGGAAGCTCTGTGCTGACACTTTTGTGGGTTTTGACTATGCTTTGTCTGCACAACTTTGCCATTAAATGTCTATGTGCAAGCATGTGTGCGTTTGATTGTGCACATGTATGAGTACGTGTTTGTTGGGTGGAGGGTATTAAAACAGAGAAGTGTGAAAATGTGTGTCTAAAGTAAAGTTTGCTTAAACAGTTCTGAGATGTATGTCCTGTCCTTTCATATTTCACAATCTAAATGATTACATATCTAAAATAAAAGCAGGATTTGGTAACTTTACCAATTCCAGCTATCAGGTAGGTTCAAAAAGTTTCATTTGGGTATTTTTACATGAGCATGATACCTTGACTTTGACTTTAAAAAAATTTTTTTTCTTTCTGTCGATCTTTAACTTCAGCAGAAAACAAGAGTAATCACTATCATTTCCTCTTTCTGAACATTTAGCACCTTTTCATGACGTTTGTCTCTCACTTTTTTTTTGTTGCACCTCTCAAGCACAACAGAAACCAGCATCATCTGTTGTAAATCTTCAGAATGATCGATTTACACCATCTCAGAATCAATATTTATTTTGCTTCACTTTATTTCACATGATAATCTTTACAAGTGCAAGCCAGCACTGTGAGACTTCCCAAGACAATGTGTTATCAGAGATTTTAGCTCCTAGATTTTTTCTTGGGCAAGTTATCGCAAGTCCTGACCTAGTGATGGTGGAAACACAAGCTGTCATTATATGAACTGAAAAATTCAGAATAGCCCAATAAATTATGTTCCTTCTTTCAGTACTGTTTGCTCAAAGCATAAAAAGAAATTGCATATTAAAAAACTGCATATTATTATTCAATGCACGGTAACTCTCAAAAATATGTGTATTTTTATTTATTTTATTCAAGGATTGGAAGTTTTTGAAAAATAACCTAGAAAGTTCTGAATATTTCAGTAGCGTAGGTTGGAAAGGTTCCATCTAAATCCCCTTGTGTTTTAGGCACAAGCCTGAAGGTCTAACTGTCCCAAATTGTTTTCTTTGGTGTCTTTCAAAGTTTTTTAACTACGTGTCCTGCATCCTCTCTTCCTTCATGCGTCTGTTTGCGTACCAGAACTCTGTTATGTCATCGACAGTCACTCTAGGCTGAATCCACAGCCCATTCTCCTCATTATCCTGTTCCTGTCCTCTTCTCTTCATCCTCTTCTGTCTCTTTCTGTCTTTCCTGTCGGCCTCCAGCGTGGATCCATTGATGTACCAGAACTCCACTCTCTCCTGCACTGAAGCTTTGGGGTCGGCCCAGAGGCTCTCCTTCTCACATGTCTGACCTCCTTTCCCTCTCCGCTTCATCTTTTTTTTGAAGACAGACAGACGCACCAAAAGGAAAATGGTTATTCCTAGAAATATGGTGGCGGTCATTGCTAAAGTCCACACTGTGATGAAGCAGACCAGCCTGGATTGCCGAGAATGAGATTCTGGGTTTGGGTTCAAACATGCAGTCCACACTTTGTTTTCTGTGTCAGTTTTGTTTGTTCTGTTGGTTGTGGCATTTAGGCTGCTGTCAGTTAGGACATCAGTTATAATAGAGATGTTGATGTTGGTGGTGGTACCACCGGGTGTGTCTGTTCCTGTCCTGTTTTCTCTTCCTGTGGGTGCTGTAGAGTTTGTGAGCCTGTATATATTCTGTGGCGTCGTAGAGTGTTTTCTGCCACTTACTAAGGTGTGATATGGCACATCTGTAACCGTCGGGTCTTGTGCTGTTGTGTAAGCCTGTGTGGTCATGGGAATATCTGTGTTTTGTGAAATTGACCATTCGTTACTCCCTGTTGCTGTTGTAGCACTTACATCGGTTGTATTCGCTGCTGTGTCGTAATGTTCCTCTCTGTGTTCACTTGTTACCCTGTAAGTTCCCTCAGTGCCTCGTGTTTCCCTCAACTCCTCGTTCGTATTAGCAAATGTGGCCTGGGTGGAGTTAGTTTCATAATTTCCTTCATCTGCCTTCGTTCTCTCATCCTCTTTCTCTGTCGAATGTCTCCAGGGTACTGTTGAGACACTGTCCACTGGGTCTGATAAGATGTCTGCAGTCTGAACAGTGTGCCCTTCATAGTTGTAACTCACACTTGACATTGTTCCTGTTTCATTACTGTCGTCCTTTTGTGGCGTCAGTCTTGAAAAATTAGTGGAAACTGTTGTATGACTTGTATTAGCATGGCTCATAGCAACATGGCTAACACTCACGCCATCATCCATCATGTCATTTTGAGATGGACTACTGCTGTTGTCTCGATGCAGGGATGCTGTTTCCTGTGTGAGTGTCACATTTGGGGTAATATTTGGCTGTGTATGCACTTCACTGGGAAAATTTGTTGTGCTGTCCTGTGTTGTTGCGGTCAGAGGTGACGAAGAGGTTGCATATATAAGGATCTTAGGTGCTGGGTTTGTTTTTGTTGTTGCTGGAGTTATTTGTGTGGTTTCAGTGTAGTCGCTTAGGGTGTTTGGTGGCAGTGTGTTGAAATAAAGAGCAGAGGCCATGAGGAACTGAGTGAAACACACGGTGATGGACAACAGAGTCATCTCCATTGTGACTTCTGTAAAAGAGCAAGAGATGGCATGAGTACAGACAACGTGACAACATTACAGGAAAACATAAATGAAAACACACACACACACACACATAAAAAAATAATGTTCAGGTCATTAATGCAATAAGTGCCTGTACCCATGAACTTACCAATGAACATTTAAAAATGTTTTTGTAATTAACATATTCATTTTAATTCATATTTGTTCATAATACATTATATTGTTAATTTATACAACTTGAAATGTTAGTATATTAGTGTATGTAGAGATTAATGATAATGAAAATTATATATTTTTATTAGCTTTTTTATATACACGCGCACACACACGTATAAATATATACACACACACACATATATAAATATTAATATATATATATAGACATCCTTGATTAATACTTTCTTTAAAAAACTTAATGACGCCGAACAGTAGCGCATGTGTTTTATATATATTTGAAAATATACTGCCTCAACAAACAACAAAAAACACCAAATTATCTCTGTTTTGGGTTTTGTTGGATCAGTCTGTTGGTGTTTGTTGAGTATAACAATCTAAATCAACTTTATAACATTTGAAATGTTGCCATGTGCCCTGTGAATGTCTAATGCTGCCAATTTCTGCTAAATAACAGAGTTTTTGTATTTAATTTGACTGATCTGACAGTAAACAGTCCAGGCCTACCATGAACGCGACACAACACATCACAAAATGGTATAAAATTCACACTGTGCTTGAACGTGCTAAGGATAAATGAGAACTCTTAACCTAAGCTTCGTCTGTATAACTTATCATTTAGCTTAACACAACTAACAGAAACAGATAAACTCTACCTGATGTTCAGAACTCATCACGTTGTCTTTTCCTGATGCACTCTGATTTCTTCGCTTGTGCAGTGGTGCCTTCTGGGATACTTCTCTCCCCTAGCTGAAGCTTTCAAGTGACATGAGGAACTGACAGTTTGATCACCATGTCAACAGTATAGGATGTGGTGAGATGTTGGGGTAAAGCAGGATGTGGTTCAGTGGCTCCTCCTCTTCCCTCCATCAGTGCTGCTGTGGAAAAAAAAACATGTGAACACATCCTGTTGACTCATTTAACATTCAGATTGATCAAATGCACATCACACTAATGAGGACACCAAACGTACTTACCAGAGTAATGCTTTGACAAGGTGACAAAGATGTCACTAGAGTTTTTTTTATGTACACACACACACACACACACACACACACACACGTTGTGTTTCCATGTTTTATGGGGACATTCCATAGGCGTAATGGACACATATTTGTACAAACTGTGTTTTCTATCGCCCTACCCCATCCCTGCACCTAAACCTAACCCTCACAGGAAACTTTCTGCATTTTTACATTCTCAAAAAACTTTATTCTGCATGTTTTATAAGCTTGTTTCCCCATGGGGTCCTCAATTTAGGTACCCATGGTGACACGAGTCCCCATGAGTGACGGTGTGTATTCAAAATTAAGTCTGCACCAGGATAGAAAAACATGTACACACACACACACACACACACACACACATATTTCCAGCAACTTTCTTAACGTGTGTAAATCTTTATTTTAACATAAAAAGTGAAACAACTGAGACACAAACTAAACAAGGCATTTGACAAACAGAAATGGAATAATTAGTCCCTGAACAAAGGGAGAGGTCAATATCAAAAGTTTATTGTGTGTCCACCAGCTGCTTTAAGTACTATTGTGCATCTCATCGTCAGCCTACCACCTGTAAATTGTTAGTGTCTTAAGGACTGTTCCACAGGTGTGTGTGCAATAATTGTTTATGGTTCAATGAACAAGTATGAAAATATTGTTTAAACCCTTTCCCTGAAGATCTGTAAAACTTATTTGGATTTTACAAAATTATCTTTAAAATACAGTATCCTGAAAAAGAGAAGTTTCTTTTTTGCTTTATTTGTGTACATATATTATTTTATATTATGTGTGTGTGTGTGTGTATTCTGTATATATATTTATACACACACACACACACACACACACACACACACACACCATGTTTATCCTCATTGCAAGTGAATCTGAATTTAATGCAGTCCGGGCCATATTTTCTATGACATTGTGTAGTTTTGTTCATGATATATATATTCTGCCTCTCCCTGATGACATCTGCTTATTTTGACTAGCCTATATACAAAGTGATAGATTAATTTTTTACAAAATACTGTATATTTTAATTGGATATACAGCCTTTGACATATAGACACACACTATCATGCAAAAGTTTAGGGTCAGTAACATTGTTTAAATATTTAAACTTGCTTATTTTCAGCAAGGCTGCATTTATTTAAAGGGGTCATATGATGCTTTTTTAAAGATCATTATTTTGTGTATTTGGTGTAACAGAATAAGTTGACATGCTTTAATGTTCAAAAACCACATTATTTTTCAAATACTGTACATTATTGTAGGTCCTATGTGCCCCGCCTCTCTCAAATGCTTCGTTTTCTACAAAGTCCCTCCTTCCGACAAGTGCAGTCTGCTCTGATTGGCCAGCTGACTCAGTGCGTTGTGATTGGCCGAACACCGCAAGCACTCGTCGGAAATGTAACGCCCCTTACCATAATCGTGAGCTTCATCTTTCAAAATAAATGTAAAGACAGAGGCCGAAAGGGGAACAGAGTCGCGTGACAGACACAGTGGTGAAGCTGGTATGTGTGCAGTACACAAGCCACGGTTAAGACAGCGGACTCCACTGTGATGTGACCCCTTCTCCCTCTCTCTCGCGCGCACACACACACACGATGCGCAAAACTCCGCATTTGAACAGATACAGCAAAACAGTAAAACTGTCAAATATTATTACAATTTAAAGCTGCCGTGGGTTGTGGTCCGGCACGGCTCCAGCACGGATGAATCGAATGTTTCAACGTGCTGTTAATTTAATTCAGCAATAGACTCGGTGAGGAAACGATCTCGGCACTGCAGCGGACTGAGACTGAGATGGTGCCGCTGCATGTCATGCCAAACCTCTCACGGCAGCGTCATCACCTTGAGATCGTTTTTTTTAGATCTAACTTTTTAGAGTCCGCCGATCAGTCATCCCAACATGATTATCGGCCGATAGTGATCAGTAGCCTATCAATCAGAGCACCCCTAGAAAACATGCTGATTTGGTGCTCAATAAACATTTATTATCATTAACATTTTTGAAAACAACTCTGCTGCTTTAAATTTTCTGGGTTCTTTGATGAATTAAACATTTCAAAAGAACATAATTTATTTGAAATTGAAAACATTTGAAAACAAAAATGTATTAGTGAACATTTCAACATCAGTGTATATTGTAACTTGCATTTGTGGGCAGTCGTGGCCTAATGTTAGCGAGTAGGACTTGTAACCCAAAGGTTGTGGGTTTGAGTCTCAGGTCTGGCAGGAATTGTCGGTGGAGGGAGTGAATAACCAGTGCTCTCTTCCACCCTCAATACCACGACTTAGGTGAAGCCCTTGAGCAAGGCACCGAACCTCCAACTGCTCCCCTGGGTGCTGCAGCACATGGCTGCCCAATGTTCTGGGTGTGTGTTCACTACTGTATGCGGGCACTTGGATGGTTTAAATGCAGAACACAAATTCCAAGTATTGGTTACCATACTTGGCCACACATAACTTCACTCACTCATTTCATTATTTGCATTTTTTTCTCTTTTTTGCCTGCTGTGTCCTTGGGTTTTTAAGTCACGACCCACCAGTTGAGCTAGCTAGACGTGACTTCATTTGCAACTTCTCACTTTCGTCACCACACTTTCAGTCATGTCTATTTATTAATTTTAGTCCTGCAAATCTCTTTTTCCTTTTCCACTAACTATTCTCCACATCACTATTCTATACGATCTGTTTATCTCAAATTCCCTTTTGTCCTTTCATTGATGCCATAGTTGCTGTGTCTGTGTTTAATTGAGGATTGTCTTGGATTAGCTGTTTGAGAAAGCCTTAATCTGTTTGAGTCACTGAGACACAGTTTATGAGAGAAGAGCTGAGGGTAATCACAGAGAGTGCCAGGCAACAGATGGGCCTGTGCTAGTTAACCCGAGAGAAACCTTTGAGGAAAAACAGTACTCTTAGGCAAAGATTTTAGATGGACAGTGAGGGTGTTAAAGAACAACAAAGTGAGGAAGAAATGGAGCAGGAAATGTCCTGTGAGAAAGACGAGGACAGCGAACCAGAGGAGGAAGATGAAGCTGATGAGGATGAGGAGGAAATGGCAGAAATTATGGACCGAGGGGTTCTGAGGGACACGGAGGTCTGGAATGGGTTTATTTCAGGAGGAGGACTTGCAGCTGAAGAGGAGGTGCTGCTGGACTGGAAGCCAGGTGACTCTGTGACTCCTCAGTATGTCCTCATGCTACCAGGATACACCGACGGTGAGGACCCCACACACCAAGCAGTTTATTTGTGCGTTTTTGTTCTTTTACTGTGATACTTTCTTTTCTTTACTGTTATTGGTTATGTGTACAGACTACCTGTGCTCCCCAGAAGACAACGTCTACAACATTAGCTTTTCACGATTCAAAATAAGAGACCTAGAAGGTGGATCGGTCATTCTGGACCTAAAACGACACTGTCCGACAGGTGTGTTAGTGCCTTTTTAACATTGCGTTCACTTACTTTCTGTTTCACTGGGTGATTTCGTAGAAGACACATAATTTGGCTAAGCAGGATATCTCAGACTGTGAATGAGATAGTACTGTGTTTATGCTAATGAGGAGCCAAACATGTTATTTGACCTCTAGAGGATATCATGTGCAGTAGCTTTTCAAAAATGGCTTGTATTTCAGCCTTACTCTCTGTTTCACTCTTTATCAGTGTTATGTTAGTATTATTTATATACTATAGTGTTTATTAATATTTTGATTTGGCATTTTTTTATGTTTATATTATTTTAGTTTGTTTTAATATTTGTTTTCTTGATTTTGTTATGTGCTTTTGTCATGATTTTGTCAAATAATACAATGTGTCAATGCACTGTATATTTATGTACTGTTATAGTATGTATTAATATTTTGAATTTGCATTTATTTCAGTATCTTTTCATTTTAGTTGAAGTTTTAGTGACTTTATGTGCATTTGTCATTTATATTAGTTTCTTTTAATATTTCAGTTTAGCTTTCATTTATTTTTATTTAAGTTTTAGTTTTAGTAATTGTAGCACCTCACCTTAAACATTTTATTTCAGTTTATTTAAGTATTTCAGTAATTCTCATTTTCATTTCAATTTTATTTTCAATTCATTTCAATTTTAATTTCATTTCAAATGTGCTTTTTTATTTTAGTTAACAACACTATCCTAAATATGGTATAAATTCCTCTTCTTTCTCTCACAGCAATAAAGGATATCATAGAGCTGGATGCAGGCCGTTTCATTCAGTATCATTTCATTCCAGCTTTTCTAAATCTCAGGGAGATTGGAGCCACGTATGTTTAGTTTTTAATAAGATTGCTTTGGAGCCTTTGGAATAGATTGAAATATTTATAAATCAGTAACTACAATCTTAATTAACATGTTTGCATAATGTGCAAACTCTCTTCTGAACAGGCTTGAGTTTACAGTGGGCGGTAAGGCAGTCAACAAGTTTCGGCTGATTGAGAGTAATTATTTTAATGTATACATTATTTCCATGTGTATCGTGTGCAATGTAGATCAGATAAATGTCAGAAATGTTTTTAAGGGGCAATAGTTGTCGCCTGGAATTGATTCATTAAAATAGTTTCAAACAAAACAATGAAATAAATTTAGTTTCTGATCAATTTTGGATGTATAATCTAATCAACATCGAATACAACTGTAAATAATACACAAGCTATCATAACACAAATCTGAAACAAATTGTGTAGATTTTAAAATAGATTAAAAATAGAGTATACAGTCCTCCTTTAATCAATTCATCAAACAATGTATGTGAGTTCCCTTTCCAATGGTACCTCAACTCCTGTTTACTCTGATACTGAAGCCTGATTTGTTCACGTTGGTGTACCTGCACGAACAAATGCCGCTTCAACCCGCAAAAAGGGGAGGAGCCAACTACTATATAAGTTGGCTCAGAGCTCCATTCGTCAGAATTTTTTTCCTTCAGCGAAGAAGACATCTCCTTGCATGGACTCTGAAGCAAGAAGCCGAAGCAAGAAGATGAAGCAAAGAAGCTCAGCCTGTTGCTCGCCGTAGAAGAGCACCTGGAAGTGGAAAATTCAGTGACACCACTCCCAGCCAGCGAATTGTCTTCCTGGGGACAGTGATCAATTCAGCCCAAATGCGGGCATGGATCATGCTGGAACGCTCTCTGATGGTTCAGCGACTAGCACCATCATTCAAATGCAGGACTTTGTGTCCCCTCAGAGATTTTCAGGAGGATGCTTGGTCTTATGTCAGCCGTTTCCTCTGTGATTTCTCTGGGCCTGCTTCTCATGCAGCCCCTTCAATTTAGGCTCAAAGGCCATGTGCCATCCCACGCTTGGCGCCTAGGGCATATTCCTCTCAGGCTAAACCACCACTGCATCAAAGCTGTGGCCCCTTGGAGAATTTCTCGCCTGTTTCAGTCAGGTGTCCCATTGGGGCTGACCTCCAGGAGGAAGGTAGTCATGACAAATGCCTCCAACACAGGTTGGGGAGCACTGTACGAGGGCAGACCAGTGTTTGGCTCTTGGACACATCTGGAGCAAAGCTTGCACATCAACTGCCTTGAAATTATGGCTGTTTCTCTGGTCCTGAAAGCCTTCATACAAACCTTAAAGGGGCATCAAGTCCTGGTCCGCTCAGACAACATGACGGTGGTAGCCTTCATAAATCACCAAGGTGGTCTCAGGTCATGCGCTCTTTACAGGATGGCGTGACACCTCCTTTTATGTGCACATCGCTTAGAGCAGTTCATGTGCCGGGCAGATTGAACCAAGGAGCGGACATGCTGTCCAGGGGCAATAGCATCAGGTGAATGGAGACTACATCCCCAATCGGTTCAAATGATCTGGTCTGTCTTCGGGAGGGGAGAGGTAGACCTCTTCGCCTCAGAAGGCAACTTTCACTGCCCAATTTACTTTTCGAAGCAGTGAGATGCCCTGGCCCACGACTGGGCCAGCGCTTGCTGTATGACTTCCCCCCGGTTGCCCTGCTTCCTCAAGTCATCAGACGGGTCAAGGAAGTCAGATGCTCGATCCTCCAGGTGGTCCCACTCTGGAGGAATCAGACATGGTTCCCTGAGTTGATTCAGCTGCTATGGGCAGCCCCCTGGCCGATACCATTGAGGAGAGACCTACTCGCAAGCAAGAGGAATGATTTGGCATCCCCAGCCCGAACTGTGGAACCTTCATGTTTGGCCACTCAACGGGAACCTTTACAGCTCTCCGCGAGTGTAACTAATACCATTTTGCAGGCTAGAGCATGGTCTACAAGACGCCTCTATGCCCTTAAATGGTCAGTCTTTTCTGACTGGTGTGCAGCACGCAGTCTGGACCCGTCCTTTTGTGAAGTGCTACACATGCTCACTATTTTACAAGAGGCTGTTGGATAAGGGGCGCACCCCTTCCACGCTCAATGTGTATGTGGCAGCTATCATGGTGAATCATGCTCCTGTGACTGGCCAGTCAGTCGACAAAAACGACCTTGTCATTAAATTTCTGAGGGGAGGGTTGAGGGGAGGGGAGGGTTGAACCCGCCTCGTCCTCATTCTGTGCTGACCTGAGACTTATCTATAGTCGCAACGAGGCCCTCCCTTTGAGTTGCTTCATTCGGCCAATTTGCAGCACCTGTCGCTCAAGACCCCCCTCCTTTTTGTGTTAGCATCAGTCAAGCGAGTAGGTGACTTGCAAGCACTGTCAGTCAGTGCTTCATGCCTTGAGTTTGGGCCTAATGACTGTAAAGTCGTCCTCAAACAAGGACACGGCTATGTGCCTAAGGTGCTGTCAACCCCGTTCAGAGCACAGGTTATTACCCTTCTAGTTCTTCCTAGTACAGAGAACAAGCAGGGCCCCAATCCACTCTGCCCAGTTAGGGCTCTTAGAGTGTACGTTGTGCGCTCTGGCCCATTTCAGCACTCAGAGCAGCATTTTGTATGCTTCGGAGGCTGCTCTAAAGGGCTGCCAGTTACGAAGCAACAATGATCTCATTGGATAGTCGATGCTATAGCCCTGGCTTATGTGGGCCCACTCCACTCGAGGGATGGCCTCCTCCTGGGCGTGGTCCAGTGGGATCTATATTGATGACATCTGTGCGGCCGCCGGCTGGTCATCGCCGTCAACCTTTACAAGGCGAGCAGAGCGACTTAGTTCTGCATTTACTTATAGGGTGGCGCTATTGGATGCATTCCCCATAAGCGTGTTCACGCAACGGGAGAGACCGTTTGAAAGGGAATGCTCCGGTTACTAACGTAACCTCGGTTCCCTGAGATAAGGGAATGAGCGTTGCGTAAGCTGCCATGCTATAAGTCTGCATGCGAGTTGATGGCTGTTGCTGACAGTCAAAAGATTCTGATGAATGGTGCTCTGAGCCGACTTATATAGTAGTCAGCTCCTCCCCTTTTATCCGATTGAAGCGCCATTTGTTCATGCTGGTACACAAACGTGAACAAATCAGGCTTCAGTATCAGAGTAAACAGGAGTTTCCCCATAAGCGTGTGTATGCAACACTTGTTCCCTTATCTCAGGGAACTGAGGTTACGTTAGTAACCGGAATGTTTTTGTTTGTGTGTGTGTGCATAGGACTGGTTGATTCGGTATGGGTATTTACCATCTCCAGAATCTCTAACTAGTCGACTTCAGACCAGGGAGGGTATTGAAGAAGCTGTCCGTAAAATGCAGTGTTTTGCTGGTATTGAAGAGACTGGCAAACTAGGTAACAGATTTTTTTTTTTACTTATTTGTACTGTAACACTTTAGGTTCAACCAAATGGACGAATGCCCTTAAGAGCGCATATGTACGATGATCTTTCTGTCACTAACTCTGATGATTCCTCTTGTCCTTTTGTCAAACTTTAGATCATGCCACTTTAGAACTGATGGCCAGACCTCGTTGCTCTCTGCCGGACACCATCAGCTCTGAGGATCTGTTGAAAGAAAGGAGAAGAGGTAAAGGGAAGCTGAAGAGGAGATACACTCTGCCAAGATTGAGTTGGGACAAGGCTGACATCACCTGGAGGTGGGATCTTTAAGTCTCCAGCAATGTATTCTATACATAGTAAAATAAAATAAAAACTACAGAAAACAGTTTGTAACTACAGAAAAAAAGTAAAAATTCTACAGTAAAAACCTGGTATAATTGTTAACGAAGTTATTTTATTTACAGTGAAAACTGTAATTGATATATATTTTTGTTGCTCATGTTTGTGATCAGAAATGTACATTAGGCTGTTTTGTGTCAAATTTTATGTTATATATTTAATATTGTATTATTTAGTGTAATTTGTGTTACCATGATGGTGTTTTGTGTTTTTGTGTGACCTGTGCACCATCAGTGTACGCAAGTATTGGCCATGTTTTATGGACAGAACACTTACAATAAACTCTGATTCATCGTGTGGCTTTCTATTGTATCATCTGTGATTTTATGCTGGTTGACCAAAAGCAGATTTTGGTAGTTAAAGTAACAAATAACAAAATATTGCTTAATGAATTTAATTTATTTAATTAATTTTTTTACAGTGAAGCCTTTATTTATGTGACCTTAACCAGACTATTCATGTCCAATAATCCCACATCTTTCCCTTCTTTTCCTCAGCGTGCAAGAGTTTCCCTCTCCTTCGATGTCTCCCACTTTACATCCAGGGCTGGTGAGGCTCATTTTAACCTCTGCCCTCAGAGTATGGAGTGATGTCACACCTCTGCGTTTCCACCCTCCTCCATATGGCCCATCACCACAGATAGACATCAAAATCACCTTTGCAAGCAGCTACCATGAGGATGGATATCCTTTTGATGGCAAGGGGGGCAATCTGGCACATGCATTCTTCCCAGGAAAGGGAGATCTTGCTGGTGACAAGTTTCCCCATAAGCGTGTGTATGCAACACTTGTTCCCTTATCTCAGGGAACTGAGGTTACGTTAGTAACCGGAATGTTTTTGTTTGTGTGTGTGTGCATAGGACTGGTTGATTCGGTATGGGTATTTACCATCTCCAGAATCTCTAACTAGTCGACTTCAGACCAGGGAGGGTATTGAAGAAGCTGTCCGTAAAATGCAGTGTTTTGCTGGTATTGAAGAGACTGGCAAACTAGGTAACAGATTTTTTTTTTTACTTATTTGTACTGTAACACTTTAGGTTCAACCAAATGGACGAATGCCCTTAAGAGCGCATATGTACGATGATCTTTCTGTCACTAACTCTGATGATTCCTCTTGTCCTTTTGTCAAACTTTAGATCATGCCACTTTAGAACTGATGGCCAGACCTCGTTGCTCTCTGCCGGACACCATCAGCTCTGAGGATCTGTTGAAAGAAAGGAGAAGAGGTAAAGGGAAGCTGAAGAGGAGATACACTCTGCCAAGATTGAGTTGGGACAAGGCTGACATCACCTGGAGGTGGGATCTTTAAGTCTCCAGCAATGTATTCTATACATAGTAAAATAAAATAAAAACTACAGAAAACAGTTTGTAACTACAGAAAAAAAGTAAAAATTCTACAGTAAAAACCTGGTATAATTGTTAACGAAGTTATTTTATTTACAGTGAAAACTGTAATTGATATATATTTTTGTTGCTCATGTTTGTGATCAGAAATGTACATTAGGCTGTTTTGTGTCAAATTTTATGTTATATATTTAATATTGTATTATTTAGTGTAATTTGTGTTACCATGATGGTGTTTTGTGTTTTTGTGTGACCTGTGCACCATCAGTGTACGCAAGTATTGGCCATGTTTTATGGACAGAACACTTACAATAAACTCTGATTCATCGTGTGGCTTTCTATTGTATCATCTGTGATTTTATGCTGGTTGACCAAAAGCAGATTTTGGTAGTTAAAGTAACAAATAACAAAATATTGCTTAATGAATTTAATTTATTTAATTAATTTTTTTACAGTGAAGCCTTTATTTATGTGACCTTAACCAGACTATTCATGTCCAATAATCCCACATCTTTCCCTTCTTTTCCTCAGCGTGCAAGAGTTTCCCTCTCCTTCGATGTCTCCCACTTTACATCCAGGGCTGGTGAGGCTCATTTTAACCTCTGCCCTCAGAGTATGGAGTGATGTCACACCTCTGCGTTTCCACCCTCCTCCATATGGCCCATCACCACAGATAGACATCAAAATCACCTTTGCAAGCAGCTACCATGAGGATGGATATCCTTTTGATGGCAAGGGGGGCAATCTGGCACATGCATTCTTCCCAGGAAAGGGAGATCTTGCTGGTGACACACACTTTGATGATGGAGAGAGCTGGAGCTATGGAGGTAAATTAAATGCTGTATACATCTTTGTGGATCTGACATCATTATCTACAGATATTAATAGATAGAATAAAAGAACAGGAGATTGGTCAGAAGTGCTTAAATGTTTTATGTTTCTACAATTCCACAGACTGGAGTAGTGCCACAGATTTATTCACAGTCGCAGTTCATGAGTTTGGTCATGCTTTAGGCTTGTTTCACTCATCCTCCAATGACTCCATCATGAATCCTTATTATCATGGTCCTGTCGGAGACATGCACAGTTACTCCTTATCCCTTGATGACAGACTGAGAATACAGGCACTTTATGGTACTTCCTAATATGTAAAAATAAATAAAAAAGGTAGATAGACAATTTTCTCATGACTGTTTACCATACAGGAAAAAGACAAGATTTTAAACCTTCTCCATCTGTTGTTGCACCCACAACTCATCTGTCCCACTCCTCGACCCCAGCTCCTCCAAATCCTCCCTATCAGTGAGTAAGACTGTGATCACAACAGGTTTGACAATGATTGTTATATTTTTTTAACTGCTTTTCTCTTTTTTTAGCCCACCAGCCTCTGCTGATCGCTGTCAGGGAGGTTATGATGCAGTTGCTAATATCAGAGGAGAGGTTTTATTCTTTAGAGGTATGATGTTTGATTTACACTGCAGTTTAAAAGTTTGGGGTCAGTAAGATTTTTGAATGTTTTTGAATGACGTCTCTTATGCTCATCAAGGCCCTTCTTATTTGATACAGCGAATACAGTAAAAACTGTAATCTAGTGAAAAATTAAAATGTAAAATAATTGTTTTCTATTTTAATATATTTAAAAAATGTATTCCATTGATGGCAAAGCTGAATTTTCAGCATCATTACGCCAGTCTTCATCAGTCACATCATCCTTCAGAAATCGTTCTTTGCTGATTTGCTGCTCAAGAAACATTTCTCATTATTATCAGTGTTGGAAACAGTTGTGCGGCTTAATATTTTGTGGAAACTGTAAGACCTTTTTTCAGGATTATTTGACAAATAGAACTTCAAAAGAACATAATTCATTTGAAATAGAAAACTTTTGTAATATTATAAATGTCTTTACTGTCACTTTTGATCCATTTAATGCATCCTTGCTGAATAAAATTATAGATTTTTTTTTTATTACTGACATGAACGTTTTGAATGGTAATGTACATTTGTTACAACATTTGTGGACTGTAAAAGTATCAGAGGGATATTAGATTCTCATGGTATCCTCACACAACATATCCTGACAAATACTGATAAAAAGTTATTATAAAAGTGAAAGAAAATATTGTTTATCTTCCTCTTCCTTAACCATTTGCTTTTTATCAGGTCCACACTTTTGGAGGGTACATCATTCAGGCTCATTAATATCCTTGACTCCAGCTCTGATCCACAGCTTCTGGATGGGTTTGCCTCCAGAAACAGCCAGAGTTGATGCAGTATATGAAAGAAGAGATGGACATATTCTCTTCTTTATTGGTATTTAATTACACACACACACACACACACACACACATATATATATATATATATATATATATATATATACCTTTTTATATATTTGTATTTATTTTTTTCAGTTTATTTATTTTTAATAGTTTTTTAAAAATTAGAAATGTTGCTTTGGCAAACAGGTAAATTAAAAGTTTAAGCTTAAGTGTTTGTTTTATTTCAATTAATTTTGTTTTAAATAACACAAATGATTTTTCATGGATTTAATTATATATCTCTTCTTAATTGGTATTTAATTACACACACACACACACACACATATATATATATATATATATATATATATATATATCCAAGCATGTTCGTTCTTCCTTCTTCATGCTTACTTTTTCATACCTTTCTCAGGTAATCAATACTGGGTATTTAGAGACACAGTGTCCCTCCCTGAGTACCCACGACCACTTTCAGAATGGGGTTTACGCACTTCTGCAGGAGGGCTTCCAGAGAGGGTGGAGGCAGTATTTGTGTGGCCACACAATGGGAAAACGTATCTGTTCAGTGGTGGAGAGTACTGGAGGTTTGATGAGTCGAGAACAGAGAGGAAGCTGGAAGAAGGGTACCCTAAACCAGCGTCCATCTGGGGGATGCCCTCTCACCCTGATGATATCATTGGATTTGTAGATGGTAAGATGTTTCTTTTATTAAAAATTTTATTATTTTTATTTTTTAAATGAATGATTTTCTCTCAAACTGACCTCAAATCGTTTTGTTTGTATTTACCTCAGGAGACACTTACTTCTTTAAAGAATCAAACTACTGGATTTTAAAAAGAGGTGGCCTGGACCAGGAATCTGCTTCCCCAAAGTCCATTGCTATTGACTGGATGAAATGTGAAGGTCACATTTCAACTCACACACCTGAGATTCCCAGAAGAGACAAAGATTGTACTTGTGTCCAGAGTACAGCAGCTATGATATGTGTTTTGTCATATGTTATATATCCAGTTATCACAGGTTGGATTTTGGTTCTTGTATTTTACTGATTCGATTTATATTATTTGTGTAGTATTTACGGTGATTTTTTTAATGTTGTGATTTTGACTGTGAAGTTAGGGAAAATGTACTTGATTTTTACCTAGCAACAAATTTCTGCCATCATTTGGGATAGGAAAGTGTCCACTGGTTGCACACTTTAGAATCTCAGCAGATGTGTAATCTCGGGATTGTTTGCCTGTTTCTTGAATACTGTGTATTCGGACCTCTTACTCATGTGACATACTGCTTTCTACAAACTATATATGGTATACATTATAGTACATACTACATAAATGGGCAGTGTTTAGAAGTACACTAGTAGATGCTCTCAAAGCTAAAACACATTGACTAAAAGACACAAGACAATACTTTAATCAATATTTGAATTGATTAAAAAAAAAATCCAAACAACGACGTCATGTAATTATTCTTTCAGTATTATACTAGAATTTATTACATAATGTAAAATAAATCGCAATATGTGAGGCTTATTCTCTCTTTTTTTATTTTTGTCAAGTTTACATCCAAAGTGAATTCAGTCAGATGCAAGCTGTATGACCCCCCCCCCACCACAATTGTACTGTAAATACAAATATCACAAATAAAATAAATAAATTAAAAAACAAATAAAATACACTACCATTCTTTATTTTCATCATACTTTTATTCAGCAAGGATGCAATAAATTGTTTAAAAGTGCCAGTAATTGTTACAAAGTACTTTTATTTCATATAAATGCTGTTATATTCATCAAAGAAAGGGGGGGGGGGAAATCACAGCTTCCACAAAAATATAATGCAGCACAAATGTTTTTAACATTGGTGATAATAAGAAATGAGAAAAGAAATTCTTGAGCACTGATTTAGAATGATTTATAAAGGACAGGCGGAAAATGTGACACTGAAAACTGGAGCTTTTCCATCATAAATAGTCTATATTTTAAAATATAACAAAAAAAAGAAAAAAAGGTTGTTTTAAATTGCTGTACTGTTTCACAGTATGCGCTGTTTTTCTGTATTTTTCATCAAATAAATGCATCCTTGCAGCATAAGAGACAAAAAAAAATCTTACTTTGAAGCAGCAAAAACGCACTTGCAGCATGCGTGACGCGAGTGAATGGGATTGTGGGAAATGTAGTCCACACAGTCATTCCCCGAATATTATCGCGAGGTCGTGACGATGACGTCCAAATGAGCGTTACCTGTTCATCCTAGCCAACGTTGCGTACATCGTTTTTATTTTACAAGGATTATTTGATATAGAATCGCTGGGTTTCCGCTTGTTGTGCCACAGTTGTTCGGTCTTTGGTCTGTAACGGTTCTACTTTTGTTCTCTCCCTGAGCGGGACCCCAGAGGTACGTAGCTCTCACGTTACAGAAGCTCAACGAGTAGTTAGCATGCTGTTCTGTGGACTGGAGTGATCCTGTTAGCATACAGGACAAAGTTAGCGCGCTAAAACAACTCAAATTATGTTATACAAGTAAACTAAGGGTATTTAGTTTACATAAACTATAGTTTTATTACATCAACACTAAAAATGAAAAATAATCAACGGGTTGTGGTGTGGAGGAAGCATTAGCTGCACAGAAGGCCTCGGCCTGTTGTTGGTTTAAGACTGTTCTTCATCTTGTGCGCGCGATATACTATCTGTGTATGAAAATACAGCGAATAGCCTACCTAGACAGCATGTTAGGCACAATATGGGCTGTTTGGAGCGTTTACCATTTTAATGGTGTCTAGGTAGGTTGCTTAAAGGGGTCATATGATGCTGCTAAAAAAGAACATTATTTTGTGTAATGAAATGTGTTTATGCGGTTTAAGGTTAAAAAAAACCACATTATTTTCCACATACTGTACATTATTGTTTCTCCTCTATGCCCCGCCTTTCTGAAACGCGTCGATTTTTACAAAGCTCATCGGTCTGAAAAGCGAGGTGTGCTCTGATTGGCCAGCTAGCCAGTGCGTTGTGATTGGCCGAATACCTCAAGCGTGTGTCGGAAATGTTACGCCTCCTTTTATTATTTTTTTTAATTAATTTTATTATTAATAATAATATTATTATTGGTTTTTTTTCCTTCTTGTCCCCTCCCCCTCTTTCTTTCCTTTCTCGCATTGTCAATCCCATAAGTACGTATTCTGTTCCACACTCCAGTCCAGTCGGTGGCGGTAATGCACCTACAAGTTGGTTTGCCAATTGCAAATAAACACCAAGAATGAAGAAGAATGTTACGCCTCTTACCATACTGTGATGCCCTATCCGGCCGGAGCGACGAGACGAAAACATTAAAACCCATTATAAACGAGGCATTTGTTGCATCCAGTGATGTCCGAGGAGCGTTTTTGAAGCTCAAAACTGGGCGGAGCTGGCCGTCGGCATATCCGTCACTCCCGGATAATCGGAAATGGGTAAAGAGGCGGGAGCTTGTTGCTGAAACCACGCCCACCTAGCTCGACGGTGGTGACGCCCTTAATTATGCAGCACTTTAAGGCTTAATATAATTTAAACGGATGAGTTATAAAAAAATTCACCCCCCTCACAGTTGTCATGAAGGGCAAAATTAGCTATATAGACCAAAATAATTTTTTGAACCAGGCTGTAAACATGTTTTTTTTCTGCTGTAAAGTTGGGCATTTTAACATGGGGAGTCTATGGGATTGACTCCCTGTTGCAGCCAGCCTCTAGCGGACAGTTGACGAATTACAGTTTAAGTCACTTCCGTGTTGGCTTCACGAGAGAGAGCGGGAGGTTGCAGCTTGGTTGCTTCGCGCCGTGTAAACATAAAACCATGTCCGCATTTGTGATCGGAGAAATGACAAACAACAAGTGCTACTCTACACTGCTCAAAACTCGCGTTTGAATCATCAGTGGCAAATCCTTTAAATATGAAAACGTACTTACAGTCTGTGAGTCAGAACAGCCGGCATTGTAGTCTACTCTAGCAGTATCAGGAAACGGTCCTCCATAAAATGTGCTGGACACATCTGAATATTTGGGTTGAAC